GTGGCCAGGACGAGAGAACGTGACAGCCTCGGCTGAGCTGTCCGCCTCACAGGACAGAGGAGGTGGAGCGCTCCGCGACAGCCTGACATAAAAAATATGTATAATGGTAGGAGAAACACTGCATATGGATTCTGTATCCATCCCCACCAACCATAATATAAGTGCACTAGTCTTATTTACTTAAGTCACTTAATTTGAGAAGATTCAAACTAACTTATTTTTAGATGGCTAATTTTTGCAGTGTATCATACGTGGAAGAAATCTTATACATCGAAGTTCTCTAAAAGAGACTTGTATAGATGTGGGGAATGGAAAAGCAGGATGTAATTTGTCATTTAGTTAGTTACCTCTGTTAGCATTTCTTTCATTCTTTGTGCAAATATGAGGTGAACCCAGCTGGCCGTCCCTGACAGCGAATATTTACCCCAAACACCATTCCTCTTCATCCCTCCTCACTTACATTTTCCATCTGTTTCCAGCATTGATCCAAGTACTGCTGAGCCTTCCTCCCTTCCTGTAAATGCTGCTCGTTTACACACAGACACCAGACAAACATAGAAAAACATAAATAAGTACACAAACATATATACTCGAATTTGTCTCACAGTTACAAACTTGTTAACAGATACTTTTTACTACATAAGGTTTTTCATTGTACTGTAAAAAAAGTAAATACATAGAAAATACCAATCTGTGTATTTTCCRGTCTCTAGATGTTATCAATGGATGGATTTTTCCTTCTGGACATGGATCGGTTGGTATAATAAACATGTGATGCAGTTAAAAGTTCAGAGCAGGAAAACAGTGTAACTGTTTGTCTTTTTTTTTTTTGCTCCGACAAAAGCTTCATACAAACTACAGACTGAACAGAAGTCAGCTGCAGCCACCATGTTTAAACCTCCAACAGAATTAGTTTGGTTTTATGGCCTCGGTTACATTCAAGTCTCTATGTGCCTTTTGTTTTTGACCAATTTTTGATGTTCTGTGAAAGCAAAAAACGAAATGACTTAAGTAAAAACAGTGTTTGTGACTAAAATATGAACTGCATTAGTAGAGAGCTCTGTTCTTCCAAAACATCAGACTCTCAGTTCTGCCATCAGCAGATGGCAGAAAACATGAAGACAGATGGTTGACATCACATCCAACWTATTTATCTCCTTGAGTGAAGATAAAACAGAAAACAAAAATCACACACACAAGGGCACACAGAGGACTCAAGACCAACATAAAACATTTCTTGTCTCACTTTTCTTCAGGTTGCAGCACTTACATGTTTCCTCTCAGCCTTGAGGTCTTGACTGTACCTCATCAGCTCGCCGTAAACCCTGTTCCCCATCTCCTCCGCCACCACCTCCCTCTGRCCTGCGTAGTCATTCAGTTCACTCAGGATGGTGTAGAACGACGTACAAGATGTGAACCTAAAACACAGAATTAGCATCAACAGTCAAACTAGCTTTCTTTTTAATTAGTGTTTCTTCTCTTAAAATTGTAGCAAATTAATTTGTTATAAAACAGGATTATTTTCCAATAGATCATATTGATATTATGAAAAAAAAATCATGGGTTTGAATCAGCATGGAAGCTAATTTCCTATACAAATGTTGCACACTCCCACAAACACGTAACTGTGTTCAGTCAGAGCTTTACTAAGAACAGTTTGCATAAACTACACCGCAGTGGAAAAAACRTGACATTTTGTCCAAAACTATCCCACAAACYGATAAACATTTCCAAAATTTCCTCTTATCACAGGCTGTCCTGCRCTTTTCTGGTCTTGTAGTTTAATGTGACACAAAGTAGAAACTCCACTTTATCATCAGTACAGAAAGTAGATAGTTCAGAACAAAGCTGAAAGATCAGCACTGGGCTGTGACTTTAGATCTAATGTTGACTGGATGCATCAAGAACTGCACTGGATGAAAGYCAAGGACAGACTTGTATTTAGCCTTTTGCTTTTCTYATGTAAAATTAGCTTATTACAAAAAMCATTTCTACCTTTTCTCTCAACTGTTACCCACTTCAGACAGACATACTTTCAATACAAGACGAGCTTCTGTTTCTTTTACATTACCTCTTCCAAGAACAAATGCATTGAAAAATATTGTATTGTATAGAGCTGCTTCTTACTGGAATATGTTGCCATTTAATCTGACAAATTTAGGAATTTACTATAAACTCAAAAATGATCTTAAAAAATTAAATTATAAAAAAACTAGTATTTCAATAAAAGTTCCCAACAAGTCAATAAATTTCAATGTAATAGTGATTTCCCTATGTAATTTTGTTCCTTGTTCTGAATTTGACTGCATTTGAGCTGGTCGTTTTATCTTGAACTTGTGTGTTGATTTCTTTGTCTTAAGTGAAGGAGCTTTAAGGAGGTTTTTTTTTTGGTTGTAGATTTCATGTTGATGTTTCCTTGTTTGAGGTTTGTGCTGGCTTTTTGTTTTGTTTTAACTTTTACATAATTTTTATTTTAATTGTGTTGTTTTGTTGATTGCATTGTTTTGTTT